ATATTATATATATATATAGGTCTGCGACATTAAAAATAAATCAGGTCACCTCTTTTTAACTTGAGCCTAATAAGGTGCCCCATACATACATACATTTATCTATACATCACAGCCTAGACTTTAGAAACAGCACAGACTTTCTCTGCTGCTTAAAAAGACTCAGGCACCTAAAACCTCAGTACGGGCAGGGCCACGGTGCTACCCCAGCGTGCTGTAACTCAACCCTTGGCTTTGCCGATCAGATTCGCCCTGCCACGCAACACTGTGCCGCGAAAACGGCAGCGGGGCTGCGGGCTGACAGGCAGCACCAAACATGGAGAAGGTGGCACTGGATCAGGGGGACGTGAACTTGGACGGCCAGGCTAGCAACCAGTGTTTGCAAACACAACACAGGGGATCAGATGGGCTGGCAATAAATTAGGACCGGCATCGCAGCAAGCAGGAGAAATTGCTCGAAATAACAAACGGAGGCAAAGAGGGCTCCCCAGCTACCCCCCGGTTTCATTTTGGTGCCTGAACGCGCTGGCTCCCAGGCTGCTGAAGCATGATGGAAAAAACGCTATCTGACAAGTGAAACTAAATAATGAGCACTTCCAGCACCGCTCCTCCGGCTCAGAAACTTAACCACAGCCTTGCTAAATGTTGCTTTATCCTATGCTAGACTCCATTCAACCCCAGTTTGAGCCCCACTCCAAAGGAGGAGAGAAGAATTAAGGTGATGGGGGGAACTCATCACTTCCCCAGGTGACACCTACTCTGGCTCAGCTGATCGTTACATCGAAAAAGCAAAGGATTTGGGATTCCCCTGTCTTCTAGCATGCTTCCAGATCTGTTGGTAGAATAGTTTGGGAAGGGAATTTCTGCTAAGCGGGTCTTCCAGGCGATGCTAACTTTTCTCAGTGGTTGCAAACCAAGAATTGCCCAAACAATCCCACAAGCACTCGGTTAAACGCAACACAGCACCCAGGGGAAGCAACCAGCTTCGGAAGGTGGGAGAAAGGGCTGCCCACAACCTGCCCACGGGGCCCAACAGCTCCGTGCTGCCCAAGTGCAGCTCTGCAGTTCCATCTCACCTGGGGCCTCTTGCTCCAGGTACTGAAAAACTGCCAGTTTGAGGTCTACAGGAGCTTCAGTGTTTTCACAGAAACAAAGAGGAAAAATACCTTCAGCATCCCACTTTTCTAGGGATAGGAAGGCTTGCAGACTACAGCCATGTATCTAGTTGCAAGGGCTGTACAGCAGAATGCCTACCACCAGAACTGCAGGACTCCAGCAGTAACCTCACTCTGCAAAGCACCCTCTCCTTCTTTTACAGATGAAAGGCACCATCATGACCTGAGACTCTCAACAAAAGCACACTGAGAACCTGTAGCAAGTGTCAAAGCAAGCCCAGCATGACCATATGCTTGCTGGGAGCAAGGAGAAAGTTCAATGCAATTTTAAGCTTCCACAAGATACACCCACAGAGGAGGATCTCACAGGACTTGTAGCTCCTGTAAAGCTCTGAAAACACACAGAAGAAAGGGGACAACCTATCAGCCGAATCCATTCTCCTGCCACATTGTGCACCTTGGAAGTAGTAAGCTGTACAGAAAAATTAAGTGAATTAAATATGTACAGTATGAGCCAACCAACAAATCCTTCCACAGCTTCAGAGTGCTACAGCCAGCCTCTGCCAACCATGCCTCTGAACAGCATAAACACCCCGGGGAAAAGGAGATTCAATCTAGAGGGCAGCATTGTTAAGAACAGGAGCTACAGAATAAAGTGAAGGTGCCTTAATTGGTGGGGCCTGTTTCCTCCGGGGAAAAGGAGATTCAATCTAGAGGGCAGCATTGTTAAGAACAGGAGCTACAGAATAAAGTGAAGGAAGGGAAGTGTCCTTGAATGGTGCCTTAATTGGTGGGGCTTGTTTCCTCCAGAGCATTCAGGGATAGACCAAAAACCACATTAAAACAGGAGCCTTTACAGGAAAGCCATATACATACACAAGCACGCATGCATGTAAACACAACACTTTCAGATCACTTTTTAGATTAAATATCTCCCTCTGTCCATTATTCCCATCCCATACTACCAGAACAAGGTTTGACTGCGCTTCAAGTTCTGCTGACTAGTCCATGATGCAATGCCTCAGACCAAGCAGCCTCCCTCATCTTTCCTCCTCCCTTCTTCTACTCTCCCGCTGCCCATCGCCAGGACCTACAAGTCCAGTTTTATACAGACTAAAATAAGGTTGCTAAGTAAAGGTCAGTCTGAGAAGCTAAAAGAGAAGTATACCCTCCTGGACCTCTGCCCCTTGGGCTATAAATACTCAGAGCAAGTACTAGGGGAAATTCTTTGTCTGCACAGACAGACACCAGGAAGCACGTTTCCTCCTCCTTCCAGTTCCCACCCCCTCTGCTACTCAAGGACAACAGTCTGAAAAAAGCAAGCAAGCATCTCCCCGCTACCAGCTCTGTGATTTGTCCACTAAAGGCATTTGCTTTGCTACTGGTGACTCAAAGCACACAGGTCTTCCAAGCGATAGACACTTTTGAAGTCCAACCATCAGCAAGGCTAACACCAGACTACACGCACTGCAAAGCAAACCATGAGGTTACACATGGGCAAAAAGAAGGATTACCTTTTAGGACTAGGGGTTCCTTGCCTTCTCGCTTGAGCGACTCCAGCACTATGTGGAGCGGCTGGGAAGGCATTACTCTGCTTGGCTCATTGGTATTCTCATCATAAACTATGATTTCTTTGGAAAAGATCCTCTTGAAAGAGTCCTTGCCTTCCCGGCAGGAGATCAAGTCCAAGACAGTGATCTTGCCCTGCTGGAGCCTTCTCCGGCTGATCTTGTCAGAACAGTTAATGTGGACAGCCCCTTGAATGTGGCTCTTATTATACTCCATGAACGGCCTGCAGTCAATGATGACAGGCCCTTGGTTCTGTTGGTGGCTCTTGCTGCATTTGGTCATCTTCTTCGCCAGGTCATTGGGATAAATGATTTTGATGCTAGCGAGTTGCTTGGTGGTGGCTGAAACCGGGCTCCCCACCCCACCCAGCGGGCTCAAGCTGCCGGCGTTCTCATTGCTGTTGACCATTTGGTTGGTAGGACAGGCGGTGGAGGATCCGGCGTGGGCGCTGCTGGTGCTCGCTTGAGTTTGGGCCTGAGCGTCCTTGTCGTACGTTGCCACAGTGCAGCAACTGGCACTGCTGCATCCACAACTCAGGGAGCGTGCAGAGCCGTTGGATGAGGGCATATACGTGAGATTAGCAGTCTTTAGGGACACAACAGCTGCACCGAGCAGACTGGAGTGGCTCTCGCTGGCAGAAGAGGCAGATTCAAGATAGCTAGAGTCTAAACAAAGGTTGAGATCCTGAGGTCTCACTGGCCTCGAAAGCGCCACTACTACCCTGTCGTCTAAAGGAGACGGAGGCATGAGGAGGCTGAGCACTAGCAAGTTACGAAGAACTCAAGATCACCCTGCAAAAAGAAAAAAAGGAAAGGGGAATGGGAGGAAGAAAAAGGAGACTAAAACAGGTCATGAAATCACATAATCCCACAGATACGACAGCTCAATCTGCTAACACCCATTGCCCACAGGTACCAACCCCTTCTGACAGTTATCAGCTCACAGCAGTTTAGCTAAAGAACCTTTTCCAGTCCTGTAGTAAATACTTCAGCTATCTGCACGCGTGCACATGGCATGCAGAATACACGCAGCTAGCCTGGACTGTGCAGCTACACCCAGGAGGCGGCATTTGTCTGCATGCAGATGGTACTGAGCTATTCTGAAACCCCAGGCTGCAAGGCATGCAACCGATAATGACAGAGAGGCACGTTCTCTTGTTCCCGTTGCTTACTGCAAAGGAAGCAACTACTGGGCTGACTCTACTACTGGGAGGAACACACAGGAGCTGAACGTGTAAGTGATAGGCAACTTTTCCAGCAAGCTAGAGTACAATCCGCTTGTAAGTTCTCTGAGATGGTTACAAGCTTCAACACATAAAGCTAAACAAAAAATAAAAAAACCAAAAAACACCCAGAACAGAGGAAAATTAGGTTCTGGAGATCTTGACAAAAAGTAAGCACGTGCCTTGAGAGGTTAATCCTGCGCCCGTGAAGCCCCCATCCCCATGCCCACGAAGGTTGCTGTTCTCCAGCAGTCCTGGAGCAGCAGCTCCCTCCTCCCCAGCACACTGCCCAGCTTCCAGAAAAAGGGGTGCCCTCCGCCCCAGCCAAGGTCACAGCCTGCCCAACCTTTGCCTTACCATTTCTAAGAAAAAGCACAGAATTAGAACACCCCCTTCACCCCATGTTTCCACTCTACGTGGGGGGGAAGGAA